TCATACATAATGTATACATTATCTACAGTCTATATCTACATCTACAGGCTATGATCTTCCTTCTCAGTAGCACTCATATAAATATACCCAAATCCGGTTTCATCAGTTAATATTTTACATTCTTCCTTTACATGGGATGCAAACATCTCCCTTTCTAATATTGTTTTCAATCTATATTGATAGGGAATTTTGTCATAATGACCTTTGTTAAACCGCAAATGGGTTCGGGAAAGTACATTGTGGGTGTGTTCTGGGAAATCTAGTTATTATGACAAAGTATCAGCTTACTCATTGCGACATCCTGCTTGTAATACCTGTATCTTTTGTTGACAGTGGCAAATAGATGCATTTATGAAATTAGAATGTGACATCAGTTTTCTTAAAACTCAGGAATTCAATTCTATTGAAAAAGAATGACTTAGACTCATATCTCACTTTTTCACCTCACTTTTCTTTGATATTTTAATATTTCACAGACCAACTTGAGTTGATGTCATGGTGCATTGTACATAGGATGATATTTCTTTCAAATGTAATTCAATACTGAGACTATTAGAAGAAACCTATCCCAAAAATGAAATGTTCATATACAAATATTTAAAGTGGCAATGTGGATGTACCACATGTTAATGACATCAACTTCTGTCTGGTCGAGTTGAACTTCTTTTCTATCATATAGTGTTTATATCATGTACATGTACAGTCTATTGCATGGCCCCAAGCCCTTTACTTGAAAGACCTCTGTTTATTTAGAGGAGTCCAATACCTAATCAGGCTACAGTACAGTGAAACCTGTAAAGTGGAACACCTCTCAAAGTTGAACATCTCTGTTAGTGGAACACAAGAGTCCCAAGACTTAATGTTTAGTGGACGTCTATAAATGGAACACCTCTCATGTGGAACATTTTTTAGAGGTACTAAAGATGTTCCACTTAGACAGGTTTTACTGTATAGCAAAATTAAATCCTACAATAATGCATTTGTTTACACGTTAGCTCTCATATTTTTCTTGTGAATATTTTTATCCATAGAGGTTCCTTTTTCATGTGAAAGATACCTCCTACTCCTCAGTATATATATTTGATGGTATATTACCCATATGTTTTCTTGTGTTTCCGCTGTGCAATAGACTACACATCTTTGTACTGTATGTTCTAGGCCTAGTTCGCATTTCTACAATAACCAGAGGTATAGACCCTCTAGTGCCAGGTCAGTGCCCTAGGCTATGATTTGCTATTATATACTAATAACCTTTAACCAGGTGTAACACATACTAGCCTCGCCTATGGATGGTGCCACACTTTTCCATTGTACAGGGTGACCCAAAAATAGAACCTGCAAATCTTTGAATATTTGGTTAAGGCTCTATTTTTTGGCTCACCTTGTAATATATAAGCTGTACTATTCACGGGAAATTGTATTACATGGCTAATGCATCTAATGCATCTGACCTGTACATATATATTTGGTTGTGGACAATCCCAAGCAATCCCTCCGCCTCCTATATATAGTCAGATTTGGGTGGGCTATTCATCTTTAGTATGTTTTGTCAAGGATTTTAGAGAAAGGTTTCTTCAATGCAGCCAAAGGGTTTCTGTTATGGGTTGTGATACCTTGGAAATAGATCTCATGTTTGTTTTATTTATTTTTCATGATTCATTACAGTGGCGGCAGGCCAATTCAAATTTCCTATCTCAAAGTTTAATATTCATTGCTCAAAAAATATATTTATTTATATGGATGGGATATTGGCTCATACTCTCTTTGGAGCAAACCTTTGGACTCAGCTGTTTTACAGACAGATCTGAGCTGGCTTCAGAAATAAGTCCAAGTTTATAGTAAACCTGTCTGGCGATTTTGATTTCTACATAATTTCTCAGTACTGTTATCTATGAAGTCTCAAGTGACCAGACTTCTTTATTCGTATGCATTAGCAAGATTTGCTCATGTCAAAAGCATCCAGAATTTTAATATTGTTAACCAATGGATCCAGGGCCTGCGTACAAATATATCATATCTACTTGAACCTTTTCATCAAATGATGAGCATGAATTGACTGAAATTTGGTATGTAGTTTTTGTTTGTTTGTTTGATTTTGGTAAAATATGTGATGTTGGCTATATTTTGCGCTTCTTTGATGCTTAATCCCCCCTGCCTATTCTCCGTGGCCAGATGTGAAAGCTATCATTCTAGTGCCTGGGAGAATAAAGAATATTGATGCTCGATGCTCGCTTTAGATTATTTTCGAGCAGCTTTGGACTTTGCTTTTGCCTATTTTTACTTTATTTAAAGGTCAAGTGGAACAGTGAATTCCCAGTTTTAACATGATAGATTAACCAGGGCTTGTTTATTACCAAACTAGTTTCTAAAGGTCTGCTTAATATAATGAATGCTAAGTTGCAGAATTTTAGTCATATGTTTACGTCTTTCTTGATAAAAAATTAGGTAACAGACGTTTGTATTCTATTTAATGGTTTTATATTATGTATTATATATATTATCAGTGTTCAGGGTAGGTAGCTATTGTAATGTCATTTCTGTGTATGGTCTGAGTCAAATTAATTATTTGACCCACTTTAAGTACTATCAGCTTAAATATCCTTTGCTAGAATCTCAGTTATGGAGGTTTCAAAAGAAATTATAAGAATATTTATATTTGGTTCTCGATAGCATAACATCAGTTTCTGTATTGAATACTGCCTGTAGATGGTGGTTACAAGCAATACTCAGAGCTTACTCTGCAACTAGCAATGCTCAGAGCTTACTCTGCAGCTAGCAATAGTCGGAGCTTACTCTGCAGCTAGCAATACTCAGAGCTTACTCTGCAGCTAGCAATACTCGGAGCTTACTCTGCAGCTAGCAGTGCTCAGAGCTTACTCTGCAGCTAGCAATGCTCAGAGCTTACTCTGCAGCTAGCAATACTCTGAGCTTACTCTGCAGCTAGCAATACTCAGAGCTTACTCTGCAGCTAGCAATACTCAGAGCTTACTCTGCAGCTAGCAGTGCTCAGAGCTTACTCTGCAGCTAGCAATACTCGGAGCTTACTCTGCAGCTAGCAATACTCAGAGCTTACTCTGCAGCTAGCAGTGCTCAGAGCTTACTCTGCAGCTAGCAATACTCAGAGCTTACTCTGCAGCTAGCAGTGCTCAGTGTTCACTCTGCAGCTTGACTTCTATTATAACTGTTTCCTTCTTTTGCACCATTCTTTCCATGTATCAAGTGTGTCATGATTATGATTATATATCAGATAGTATCATAGACGTGTCACAATGCTCTGTTGAACATCCCAGATCATATTGAAAGATGACTGCATTTAGGAGTATGTCTAGTGCAGTCTAAGACTATTATACGGCACATACTACAGTAATGTTATATTCTATTAGCATAACATTATATTTGATTGATTGTTTATTGCTTATTTATAGGTCAAGCTCCAACTCTAGAGGTTTTGAACAAAGTGGGTTTGGGCGGCCCAGACGCCCTCAGTCTCCAGAACCGAAGTTGTCCTCTGTTTCCTCAAGCATCAAGTCATCCTCGAGCAAAAAAAATAGCAGTAAGGGGTCAAGGTCACCTGAGGGCAAGTCGAGGTCAAGTTCAAGTGAGAGTTCAGGGGGTGGAAGTATACTTAGTGGGAGTGGAGCTAAGAGTCAGTCTAGCAAGTCTAAGTTGGTAAAATGTCCTCTAACACCTGTTAAGTCTACTCAGGCCCAGCTAGAGGAGGGAGAGACAAAGCCGGAGGAGAATCAGATGCTAGGGATCTGTGTACAGAAACTACCACTAAGATCCACTGGTGAGTATTGATTCTGAAATATTTTACAATTCTAGATGAACATAAGGTTGATATTGCAGAATACCTACCTAGCCGTGTGTAAATGAATCAATCAAAATGCAAAATTTCAATGAAATGATTGATAATTGAGCTTTCATATCTTGCAGTCTTGTACACATACATTGTTGAGTTGAATTTTGATCCACATTTAAATGTTAATAGAATCATTCATGACTGATGCAATTGCCAAATTATTGATGTATATTATGTATTGTGTGTTATATTATTCTCAATCTGCCTCTCAGTTACTCTAAGTAGTAGATATTGATCCATCCCGTTCTTATTACAGACACCAGTATCAGAGATGGCCTCTATCATGAGTACAAGAAACACGGCAAAGTCACCTCTGTTAAAGTGTTTGGCGATGGACCTGACAGATATGCTATAGTCAGTTTTAAAAAGTAAGTAGATGGCTATGATTATCACCATTATTGAGTTTTACGTTGGCACATTTTCTGATCTGAATTATTAATAAAGTGAATCATTATAATGAAGCTGATAGTGTGGAGCCTAGCACAATAGAAGAATTCTTATTACTTTTATTTGCCAGTGGTAGAATTTATTTATCAATACTGGCCAAGTAAATTGGAAACATTATGTATGCCAAAGCACAAAGGTTATTTCATGGGGGTTGGAGTGCATGTAATAAACCCGATTTATTTGGCCAGTAACACTCAAGATCAGTCACCAAGGAAATCAATGTTATGTTTCCTTTTAATGAAGGAGACTTGTGGACTGTTTAGTTTTAGCTAAAATTAGATTCTTGTTTATCGTGATTGATGTTTTGATGTCACTCGTAATGGTGTATAAATTGACATTGATGTTGTAGACACAGTTGGAACATATGCGAACAACGTAAAGTACATACGTAATATTAGAACATGAGATCAACTTCATACGTACAGGCTCAGAGATGTCATATTGAAGCTGTAATTGATATCTTACACATGCATTTATTATTTTTAGATCGGAAGATTCTATAAAGGCTATGGAAGCGTCTCAGGGGAAGCTGTTCTTTGGCTCTAAGATATCTGTGACAGAACATGAAGGCTTCGGTAAGCCAGATTTTTACGTCAATGAACTACCGTTTAATTCCTGATTTTATGTACCACTAAAGATTCAGCTTATATCTTTGTTTTTTTTCATATCATTTCTGTATTTCATATTTTAAAACTTTGCTCGATGACTTGATAAGTGCGCCGCATAAAGCTCACTTTGCAGAATCACGTTTATTAAAATTAGTTGTTTTGATTATGTTTTCATTGTACTATGGAGACATATGTCTGGCTTCTATATCGATATGAAATGTGTAATGATAGAAACATTAATATTGAGACAATTGAAACTGCCTGAAGCAAACATGGTAATTAACAAGTAGACTTTGATGGTTAGCAATATTTTTTCTAATTATTCAGCTAGTCATTATTAGTTTTAATTTCACTAGACTGGATTGAGTAGAATTAATAACATATTCATACGCTGTATTTTATATCTCGACATGTTATCAGGAGACTGTTGTGCCTTTGGTGTAATATTATGAACACGCACACATCATGTTAATAATATGTTATTATGAGGTTTAGCTATTGCCCAACTGTCACATACCTAACATTTATTTTACACCAGCGCCATAGCAACTCAAAAAATTGAAAAACGAAGACCAGATTACAAGCAGGAAAATATGGACTTTTGTTTTTGCAATTTAAACAGCTATTTGCAATGATCAAGGGCAGTGGTACTCATGAAAAGGCAAAAGATGTGAAATTAATTGGATATGATAAACTGGTAAAATGTCAAAGGATCGAAGAGCAGTAGTAATGCTGATGATTTTCCGAGGTTTGTGATAATATGCATGTTATGACTCAATGAAAGTTGAGAATGTTTATTTATATCTAACTAATGGATGTTTTACTAATGGGGGGTGAAATGACATCCATGGAAGACCCATGACTTCATAATATAAGGTTCTTTTATATTCTATGTTTAGAAGCACCACCTGATGAAGTTGATGATCGACCCACTGACATAACACTAGATGAGTTCCACCCCAAAGCCACACGCACACTCTTTATAGGCAATTTAGAGAAGGAGATCTCCTCTACCGAACTTAAAGATAGATTCAAAGTTTTTGGTGATATTTTAGTGAGTATTTAAAAGAAGAGGATATTGGTTTGATTTTTAACATCTTTCATAGATTATAGATTTATTAGATCTAGGTCAGTATTTGAGATTCATAATGTAATTTCAATAATTAAAACATTGGTAAATAGCTAATGATATATATTGATAATTATTTAATATACGCATGTTTCATCATACATTCGCCGCTCATTATTATTATCTATATTGTTAGTCATACCATATATATTGACATTTACCGCAAACATTATTGCCATGAGCACCTGTAATCTATTCTGTGTTTCAATTACAGGATATTGATGTAAAGAAACAGGGTGCGCTGACAGCGTATGCATTTATACAATACACAGACATTAGCAGTGTAGTTAGAGCACTCAGAAAAATGGATGGCGAACATATAGGGAGTAATAAACTAAAACTGGGCTTTGGAAAAAGTATGCCTACTAACTCTGTATGGATAGATGGCGTAGCAGACACTGTGACGGAGAAGTTTCTCTGTAGACAATTTAGTCGATATGGACCCGTGCAACATGCTATTATAGATCGGACGTTATCACGCGCTCTAGTGTATTATGATAATATGGAAATAGCCCAATATGCTTGTACTGAAATGAGGGGGAGAGCTATCTCTGGAAAGAAGATCCAGGTAAGAGCTATATGCATGAATGATTATAGCAATTTCTGATCACATTGCTGTCTCCTTTAAACAGAGTGAACCGTTCTTATTATTTCAGTTGTCATTATTGATTGGAGTCAATTTATTTTACGAATATTTCAGGTAAATGGTCTTGCATCTACTTCTTTTTATGGATAGAGGAATATTTATGGGATTGGAAGCGGGAGAATAATTCACAGAACTGCAGATGATTATGTGCATATAATTGTTGTTTGCTTCTAGGTTGATTTCGCCAGCCGAGATTGCCAAAATGATTTCTTTGAACAGCTAGAGCGGACCAATCAGCTTCGACCTGGAGATAAACCTGAAGAACACCAAAAACCGCGGCCTAGAGAATATGAGACTGATGAAAGGTAGGGGGTGTTAGATGTTTGTAGATGTTGTTATAAACTAATGTAACACATAAGTATTCGTTGGTAATTATCATTTTGATTTGTTTTGTGTGCAGGAGCGGTTAAGGTGGCTTATAATGCTGCTTATTTTTTCGTGAAGCCACTCAGTAAAATTATGATTTCTCTGCACCCTGATTTCCAATCAACATCATTCGAGTATCTTTGTGTTTCTGACACGTTTGGGCATCCGGTGATGACAACGTAATTCATGACTGAAGTAGATTAGAGTCTCTGGAACACTTTTGTAAGTAGTTTTCACAAGCAATTTTGTTTGTGAATGTCAAATTTTGTCTTCCCGATTTCAGTCATATATTAAGTCAATTTCGCGTGCAAACGTTTGGTAGACATTGCTATTACCGGGTGCCCAAATGTGTCAGGAACACATAAATACTTGAATGATCTTGATTGGACATCAGGTTGCAGAGAAATCGTAATTTTACTGAGTGGCTTCACGAAAAAATAAAAAGGCTATACGCCTCGTTAAAGTCACCTCCCTATATATAGTTAATGGTGTTGGTTTGTTGGTTAGTTTCCTCAGATTACATGTAACAATGGAATGCTTCAAAACATTGAAATTCTTATACCCTACTTGAATCCTTTATATGTGAAATCACAAAGCTTCCATGTTTTATATAGTCATCTGTAGTGTATTAGTGCTCCTGTCACCATCTTGAATGAATGTTGTCATTTCTTTAAGGTTCGAGGCTACTAGAGGTTTTGAAGGGCGGGGCAGAGGTTATCGAGGGCGTGGTAATTTTAGAGCTCGGGGTAGAGGTCGTGGGCGTTATAATCATGATGGCTATCCTGACAGAGGAGATTCCAGGTACAGTACACCTCAAATCTAACCTGAGACAGTGTGCTTATGATATGGACTGAATCATAAACCATACGGTTGCCTATTACATGCACTGTAATACCTTTGATCTACAGCTTAACTTGTTTCACCATTTATTCCATGTATATCTATGTAATTGTAATATGTCTGTTCTTGTCTTTATGTATTCGTTCAACCTGCATTCATATTTTGTGCTCATTACTCTGTTGATTGATTGATGATTGACTCGTGATCTCTTTTCAGAGATGTTTAGTTGTGGCACTATAAATGATTTCTTTGTACTTGCAGGGAATACCCTGAGGAATATGAAGGTGAATGGGAGGGAGAAAATTATGAAGGGTCCTATCAGGAGTTTAATCAGAGACCCAGAGACTACAGGGGTCACTCACCCCATAGGGATTCTAGGGGTGTTTCACCCCATAGAGACGACTGGGGGGATCCCAGACTTGTGGATTATAGGGATATGCCCCCAGAGGATAGGAGACATGAACGGTTTAATGACCGATTTGAGCGTTACAGAGACACAGATAGTCAATCCGGTGATAAAGAAAGTGTTCGCAGCTATCATAGTGACGAAAGACGAGATTATAAAAACAGACCTCATGATGATGCATATCATGAGAGTAGGGGGAAAGGATATAGGGACCATAATAGGAGTTTTAGTCCAACTCCATCTAGTATCTGTAGCAGGAGTCCTTCCTCACAAACTCAAAGAAGTTCTAGTCCACACAGAAAATCCCGGAGTAGGGCGCGGTCTAACACGCCCACCCGGGATGAACCCAGACACTCAGATCCGGGTGAACACCCCGAGCCACATAGACATAGGGATAAGAGACGTCCAGAGAAACAAGAAAGTCATGATTCTTCGTATAAAACTGTTAAATCAACTGTTTCAAAATCAAAGACTAAGGATTCATCCAGACCAAAATCATATAGGGATGAAAGTATGGAGGATTATTCAGATGTTGAACGATCTGGTCGATCAGATAGTAAAAGACGGTCTAAGGATTATCATCGTATGAAAAGTCAAGAGGATAGTGACCGAGCACATCGGAAATCAGAAAAACAAAGATCTCGCAGTGCATCTAGTGGTTCAAGGAATAGACATAAAGAACATATAACTGACTCAGGGAACCTAAAAGACACGACAGATAAGCAGCGTGTAGACAATTTAGATAAAATTAAGCCATCCAAGAAAGAAACTCCTAAAAAGGATAGAAAGCATAAAAAATATGATCCATTTGAGAAAACATCTAGTACTAGTGGGTCTGAAACAAAATCAGATTCAGAAATGGACTCCGGAGAAATATCAGCTAGAAGCCATTCTAGTACAGATTTAAACAATTTACAGAGCACTAAAATGGATTTATTAAATCGGTTAGCAGAACTTGATGAAGTAGTTAGCAATAGTGATAATGATTCGGGCCTTGTGGCTGAGGATAAGCCCAGGCGCTCTAAAAAGCCTCGACTTGAAGAAGTGTTTGATTTAGACTGGTCTTATGGTAAACATAAATCTGAACCTGAAGAGGAAAGTGTATTGGATATTATTGCCCAATGTAGGGCGGAAAAAGCTGCCCAAAGAGACCTGAAAAACTCTGGGAAGTATAAATCAATAGACTCTGCACAGAGCTATCGGAAACAAATGGAAGAAATTCGTAAACAGGAAACTAAGAAATCTACAAGGGTCTCTGGAGGGCCTACGGACAGTGGGATTAACTATGACGAAATGGAAATGACTGAAAGTCATACACCTGGTAGATCTCCACGCGAAGTTCCAAATGAATTTATCCCTAAGAAGAAACGTAAGGTTGAGACTGATAACAAACAGAGGTCTTATAGAATGAAACCAACTACTGATGAAGGTCAACTTAGCAGTGATGATGAGGATATATTAGCACCTACATTGTTAAATAGACCAAAATCAGAATCTTTGGATGTACAACATAAACCTAATGACTTTATCCCAAGGATGGTGACCAGTCAGTTGCAGCAGGATCAGCAGCAGAGGCCATATCCCAATGACAAATATCACACTGATCATTTCCAAAAACCAGAACCTCCTTATCATAATGAGCCTCATTTTCACAAAACTGAGCCCCAATTTCACAAATCTGAACCTCCTCATATATCAGAGCCCCCATTCAATGCACCCGAGCCCCATTTACACAACCCTGATCCTTACTTACATCAATTAGAGTCCCCTAAATCTGATTTTGCCAAGCCATTTGACATTGGATTACACAGGTCTGTGTCAAGAGAAGATCCTCCCGAACCCTTGAAAGAAATTGCTAGGCCTAAGGAGCCACTTCCTGCCACACTATTTGACTCCCCTCCTGATCCAATGGATGTAGCAGATGATTCCAAGATGCTGCATGCTAATGAAATGGATTTATTAGAGACCATCGAGAAAAGACATGAATTCAGATCAGAGGAAGATGTTAAATCTGATATGAGGCGTGTAGAAATAGATCTCATACCTGGTACGCTACCAAACCATGAAGCTAAATCTGAGAAGAAAAGCTTTGTTGAAGAATGGGCTGCAACTGGTGATGTGAAAGCTGCATTAAAAGATCCAATGGAGGTAAGAACTGTTGTAGAAGAAATGAAGAAAGTGCGTCGCAGCTCTCGAGAGAATGAGCAGCGAGCTTTAGCTGATCACAGAAAAGACAACAAATACAACATGTCTCTGCCTCTACCCAAGTTTGCAGCCCATAACCATGAGGATGAAGATCCTACAGCTCCTGGTGGAGATAATGGTATTAAGATCATCAAGCTTGGACAGTATAAGAAGCCTGAGGTACTTTTACCTAAACCACAAAAAATGGAGAATGAGTATATATCAGATGACAGCCCTGTGTTGTCTCCTGGAGCTGTGGCAGGCCAGATGTCTCTTGATGAAAGGATACGAGAGTTAGACAGAAAACTAAGCCAGACTGAACAAGTGAAGGCTAATACAGTCCTCACTGCCAATGTAGCAACACCAACTACTCCCTTAGCTCCTGCTATAGACTATCAAAAATATAAAATCAGGAAAAGAGTAGATTCATCTGGTTCTAATATATCAAACTCTAGTGAATATAAAAAGTCAGATATTATGAATTCAATTCTGTCGAGGAGCAGTATATTTGACCAAGATACTCAGAGACTGTCGTCAACAGGGGAAACCAAACAAAAACAGGAAGGAGGTGACAGTAGAATGTTATCTGGAGCTGATTCACCTAAACAACTATACAGTGTTCCTAAAACTCTGCCAACTTCTCTACCTACTTTGCCAAAGGATATACCTACTTTCAGAAAGACCACACCTGGTATGCTGCCACCTGTTCCGCAACATCCTCCCTCAATGAGCAATGCGATTCCTACTATGGGCTTGTCACACTCTCAACCCGACCCGCGGGCAATGCAGGAGGCCCTTGCTATGAGACCAGGTGTTATAGTGAAGAAAGCTAGCGATCCAAGAATTTGTGACCCAAGGTTGAATGCAAGCAGTAATGATCCAAGACTTAACAATTCAGATCCTAGACTGGGAAGTAGACAATCTCCAGGTCAGAATATAGTCACGTCCCCCAGTAGTGGATTCCATTCTCCAGGTACCAGTGGTCTAGGCCTATCAAGTTCTTACTCTGGTGGAATGACGCCTCCTATAAGAAGACCTGAACCATTGACTATGCCTGTTGGGATTATGACTCACAAGAAGCCAACCCCTGAGCCAACTAGTCAGATGAATAATACATCACCTGGATTACATAACCATACCAGTCACCCACCAGCACCCCATGGACCTTCCCCAGTAACTACACCTTCTACTTTGATGCCCAGTCCTTCTCAAGTATCCGGTACTAACAGCAATAGCTCATCTCCAAGAGCATCATTTGCAGCACCACCGAAACCTGAGCTGGCCTCTCCATTCCTGAACAAGGAGCCTCCGCCATCCATTCTCAAGAAGGATTCATCATTTGATAAGCCATCCACTCCTGTAACACCTACAACACCTGTTAGTAAGCCTAACTGTAGTAATTCAACCACAAGCAACAACAATAATGTATCAAAATCTAACAATAACAGCAGTGTATTAGGGAAGCACAAGCTACAGGAGAACAGCAAAGGTGATAATAACAAGAAGACCAACTCAAACAAAAACAAACAGAAGGAAGACCCCACTAAAATGGATCTTTTCAAACCAGAGAACACTGTGTTGAAAAAGCCTAAAACAGAACCAAAAGACAAAGAGAAAAAACCTGATAACAATACTAAGAACACAGATCACACTAACAAGGAAGCAAAAGAGAAGAAATCATCTTCATCGACGCCATCAAAAACGCATAAAACATCAGACAAAAAGCTGGTAAAATCTTCATCGCAGGAAACTCAGAAAAAGACAGATGTGAAGGATAAAAAAGAAAAATCACATGAAAAACCCTCATCATCATCTACTAAGTCCACATCTAAAGATGCAACCAAGAATAAAGCCAGCTCTAAAGATGCTTCTAAAGAAAAGAAGGATTCTTCTAAGTCTAAAGACAACCTGAAACCCAAACATGACATCAAGAAGGAGAAGAAAGATAAGCATGAGTCTAAAGATAAGAAGGTGGAAAACAAAGAAAAGAAGGTTGAAAAGAAATTAGAAAAACAAGACAGTGACAAATCTGAGAAAGAAGAAAAGCCTGAGAAGATCGAAAAAACTGAGGGTGAAAAATCTGACAAGGAAAAGTCGGAAAAGAAGCCTGAAAAGATTGAAAGAATTGACAAACCTGTAACTGTTAAAACTGAGAAGCCAGAGAAGCATAAATCAGAGAAGCATGATAAAATCCCAAAAGAAGATAAAAAGAGTCCTGAAAAGGCCCATAGTGATAAAGCATCTAGCCCTGAAATTAAGGAGCATAAGAGCGACAAGACTAAGACTGAAGGATGTAAACCCCACAAAGATAGCACAAAACCAGATGACAAGCATGACAAGAAGCCTCCAAAGTCTGACAGCAAGCATGCTGATAAACAGAAGACCAAGGATAATCATGGCAAACAGAAGGATAAATCTAAACACTCCAGTTCTTCAAAGCAGGATAAAACAAGCAAATCATCAGACAAGAGTGAAAATAAGTCAAGGTCAAATAAGGATGGTGTCAAGAAAGAGAATGGTGATAGCAACAAAAGTGGGTCAAGCAAAGACAAGCAGTGTGAAAAGCACAAAAGCAGCAAAGATAAAGATGATAAGGAACATGATAAAAAGTCAAACAACAAAAAGAATGAGTCTAAATCAAATAAGGACAGCGAGAAAAGGGATAGAAAAGATGATCAAAATGACAAAAAGAAAAAGGGCCGGAAAGAATCACTTCCTGGTGGACTTCGGGAACTAATGGATTTAGGTTGGCCTGGAGATGAGCCACAGGCAGTTTTCTCATCTATGTACGATAAAATCAAACGTAGATCAACAACTGTCAAGCCTGAAGACCACAACACATCCTGGTTCAGCTCTAGTAGACAAAGATCCAAGAGCCAAGACACGGACAGTTTGTTTGATTCTGACAGGGACAGCGAGGATTCTTTTGAAGACACCAGGTCAACTCAGAAGTCAAAAACCATAACAGAAAAACAAGCCCCAAAGAAGAAGAAAACCAGTTCTACTTCTGATGATGAACATAAGAAGAATAAGTCTAAATTCTCGACCAAGAACTTTTCAAATGATCTAAGTGATATATCAGATGATAGTGATGATGACTTTTCAAAACAAAGTAAGAAAATAATCAAAAAGAAGAAAAAGAAGCCAACCTTGGATAAATCCGATTCAGAATGGGAAAATCTGATGAACAGTCAAACAAAGAAAACTCCAGAGAAGAAAAAATCTAGTAAATCTACAAAGAGTATGACAAAGGAACGGAATTTGTTTGGAACATCTGAATCTGAATCAGACTGGAGTCATATCAAAAAGTCTGGTTCTACCAAGAAAAAAGCTAAAATCTCAGATATTTACAGTTCAACAGAATCTGATTCCTCTGACTCTGATGTGCCTAGTAAATCATCTATATCTCCGACAACTACTATACCCCGCATGAAGGTAGAGACTATGCCAAAACCTAAACAGAAAGCTAGAGACAAAAACAAACCCAAGTCTATTACAGATAGTGATACAACATCTGATTCTGATTCAGGATATGACATATCAAATCGACATAATGCAGAGAAGTCCAAGAATAAGGTAACACCTAAGAAACAGTCTAATAGTCTAAGGTTTACTACATCGGGATCTGGTGGATCTGATACAGAACCTTTCAATTCTCCTGATGTTTTGCGTCCTGATCAAGCAAAACCTTTCACCTTCAAGCCGAAACCATCACAGAGTAAACCAAGCCATAGTAAGCCAGAGAAAAATAAGACTGAAAAATCAAGACCATTGAAAGACCAAAGCAAGGTGGAGAAGTCTGAGAGAGATCATAACAAACCAGACACCCATGTTAGATCTGAAAGAGACAACAAGTCAAAGGCTGAAAGAGACCAAAAGCAGAAGTCTGATAGAGATATAAAGGCAAAGCACGATAGAGAACTGAAGTCAGAGAAAGATAACAAAACTGAAAGATCAGAAAAGGATTCCCATAAATCATTGTGGGACAATAAACCAAGAAAGGATTCTCATAAATCAGATAATAGGGGAGAAAAAGAAACTCATAAATCATTATGGAATAACAAAACAGAAAAAGATTCTCATAAATCATTGTGGGATAACAAAACAGAAAAAGATTCACATAAATCATTGTGGGATAACAAAACAGAGAAAGATTCTCACAAATCATTGTGGGATAACAAAACAGAAAAAGATTCTCATAAATCATTGTGGGATAACAAAGCAGAAAAAGATTCTCATAAATCATTGTGGGATAACAAAACAGAAAAAGATTCTCATAAATCATTGTGGGATAACAAAACAGAAAAAGATTCTCATAAAACATTGTGGGATAACAAAACAGAAAAAGATTCTCATAAGTCATTGTGGCCAGAAAATGACTCCAGTAAATCACTATGGGATAATAAACCTGAAAATGGTTCTCATAAATCAATATGGGACAATAGATCTGAAAGGGATTCTCATAAATCATTGTGGGACAATAGGCCTGAAAAGGATTCTCATAAATCATTGTGGGACAATAGGCTTGAAAAGGATTCTCATAAATCGTTGTGGGACAATAAGCCTGAAAAGGATTCTCATAAATCGTTGTGGGACAATAAGCCTGAAAAGCCTTTATGGGAGAAGACACCGGAAAAGGATTCTCATAAATCGCTGTGGGATAGTAGACCTGAAAAAGACTCCAGCAAATCTCTTTGGGAAAGTAAGTCAGAAAAAGACAACACCAAGTCATTATTCAGAGATGCAAAACCTGAAAACCAAGAGTCAAATAAGAAACTTGAAAAGCCAAAAAGTGTGAAATTGAATGCTACAGACATATTTACATCATCTGAATCTGAGGCTGAAACTACTCCAGAGAAAATTTCAATGAAATCTGAAGAGCAGTCTAAAATCAGCAGCAATATTGATGACATTATTGCCAAAGTTGCCAGTGATGTTGATAACACATACTGCAGCCCAGATAGCTTTAGACTCAATGAAGATGAATCTAAGAAGAAACACAAACATCCAGGCAAGGGGGATAGAGCCAATAAGAGGGAGAGCTCCACAGAGTCAGATCGCCAAAAAGATAACTCGTCCAGCGTTGTTTCACTCACTAAAAATCTAAGCAAGATCTTGAAAGCAAAACAGAGTGGACAGGATAAAGAGGAGTCTGAGATTGATAAAGTCAACAAAGTAGTGGCTGAATTTGAACAGGAGAAGAGAAAGTCCCTTGAAAAACTTGAAGGTGGAAAGATTGCTAAAAATAAGGGTGGGGAAACTTCCAAAATCAACGACACTAAGTTTAGTGTTTTTGACTTTGATGATGATGATTTCAATGATGTGAAGCCAAGCTTAACTAAACTGCATGAACCTTCTAAAGACAAAAGTGCTGATGGATTTGGATTTGAATTTGAACCTAATAAAGATATAAAACAAGAGCCTGATTTCCCAAAGGTTGAAAATAAAACACCCAAAAAGGCGAAGAAATCAAAAAGTGTTGATAGGAGAGCATCAACTGATTCCATTGAGAAGGATAGAAAACCAGCCATGGCTAGGTTTGATATCATGCCACAAATTATACAGGAAAATGTACCAGAACCTAAAGTTAAGCAGGAGCCAGAAGAACCACTGTTCAAACCAAACACCCCTGTTAAGGCCAATGCTCCAACTGTGAAACCCAACACACCAGAGAGAGAAAAGATTAAGAAGCAACCTGAGAATAACTTTGAATTTGAAACACCAAGTCCTAAAGATGTTAAGAAAAAGCCTGCGAAGATTAAACATGATCGTCAGTCAGTTGAAAGATCATCTATTGAGAAGCCATCTCCCGAGCAACCTCAAGAAGTTGTTCCTAAAGAAGCTGAGGAAAAGAACATTGATCAGAAAGAAACTGTAGAGGAGGAACCTGTTGCTGATGCTCCACAAAACCCCGAAGAAGATATTAGCAGTGTTAATGCTCTGCTTCAATCTGAACCTGATCTATTCAGTGATGTTGAGACTTCTTCCAAATACGAGGATACTTACCAAGGTTCAGGCAAACCAGAATCCAAAAGTGATTGGTCGATGCAAAGGGATGGTGCCCCTGAGGCAATTCCTGCTGATGCAGGTCTCACCTGGGGTGAAGAAGACAACAGGGATGACAATGAAAACAGAGATAACATCTTCCAAATCATGGCCACACATGACAAACCCAAGGAAGAATCTGGTATCATTGAGGAGACTGTAATTGAAACAACTATAGAGACTACTGAGGTCAGTCAAGAAGAGATGCTTGAGACAACTGTGGTTGGACATGAGGTTCCTGTTGAGCAGGAATGTGAGTACAAACCTGAGGACAACAAACCAGAAGTACCAACTGACCTACCCTTGCCTGAACCCCCTATGTCTCAAGCACAGTCTATCTTGGTGCCACCTCCTATGCCTGAAGAGCTGGAAAGTCCAGACTCTCCAAAGTTGCTCATAGATGAAAATCCTCTTCCACAGAAAGTAGATTCACCTGTCATCCCAGAGCCCAGCCCTACTGATGTAGCAGATGTAACACAGAGCTTCCAGGATGATTTGCTGAGGCAAGCTGAGATTCTTGAGAAAGAAGCTGCTATGGAGAGACAGAAAGAGGACGAGAAAAGACAGATCGAGGAATATCTAAAGCCAAAGGGGCCACCTATCACAATTAATGACATCGCGAGACCGTTACCATTGGAGCAATCGACTCCCATTGATGGCAAATTCACAACTGAATTGAATGATGCAGTCAAGACTGATATAACAGACTCTAGTCCTAAACCAAGAAAGTCAGTACGACAAAGAAAGCCAGGGAAGGGTGTGATAGCTGAGAAGATTGCAAATGAAGCGTTAGAGCTGCAAGGTCAGAAAGTTGAACCTGAACTTCCCCAAATATGTGAACCTCAGCAGAAGGTTCTACCCATGCAGGCTGAGAATAAGCCCCCACAACCTATGGGTAAAACAGTACCACCTCCGACTAAGATGTTGACCAGGGGCAAAGCAGCAAGTGAGAATGAGGAGAACAGCCGAAAACTCAGGAGAGGTCGAAGGTTGAAGGCAAAGAAAACCATGGGGGAAGATTTTGTTATGTTGTCTGATGCACCTAGAAAATCATCACCCAGGAATTCTCCAAAGTCTGTATCACCTAAAACTGTCCCACCAAAGCAGCCAGGCACTCCTCCTAGAATTCAGAAACCACCACAGTCTCCTGGCAAAGTTCCGGTCTCCACTCCTACAGCAGCCAAGCCAGAACCAGTGGTAAAGCTGGAGAAATTATCTGATGAAACATGGAAGAAAAATGAGGATGGCTCGGAACAGCCACAGCCTGAGCAAGAACCCCCAGTTGTTCCTAAGCCCAAAACTGAAAAAGAGCTGATTGAAGAGAAGGTGGCTGCTGTATTGTCTAATGTGCGTGCTGAGATGAAGGCCCCTGATGCACCAGCTGATGGTAAGAAAGGAAAGCGCAAGAGAAAGCGTAAATCCCAAGATGGTGCACATCCTGAGACTAAAGCAACCACAGAAGAAGAGTCCCCATTGAAGAAGACAAAGAGTGAGGGAAATCAGCAGACACAGCAAGCGGTAGAGAGTATCTTACCTCCTGTAGAGTTCTCTAATGAAGCTATGAAGGAAATGAAATCTCCTACTGTTGCTGCATCTACCCCTAACATTGTGAAACCCACAGCTGATGTTGCAAAGACTGATATGAATACGAAGCAAGTGATGTCTCCCAATCAGCTATTGACTACCATAAAGGCTGATATCCCATTGAGTATATCTGTGCCAGAGTCTGGTACTTTCATGGGCCCACTTAAGTCATCACCAGTAATGTCGCATATTGATGCTGTAATTGATGCTGTAGCTAAAGGAGAGTTCCACTCACCAACAATCCCTGAACAAGGGCCTGGGGAACCAGAGAATCAGTATGAGACGAAAAAACGTAAAGCTGCAAGAATGCACAGTCATGACATGTTACCCCATGCTGGTAATGCTCCTCACACCCCACACACAGGTGCAGCAGCTGAGGGTGCAGGGATGATGGCTCATACAGCTGCTACAACTATGTCAGGCCCTGTACCAGCTAGTGGGGGCTCTCACATTCCACTGAGTAGCACACCACTGACCCCCACAGAACAGACTACCTCACCACATTCGACAGCAGCTCCCACATCAGTCATACAACAGACATCACATGGTGAGTACAATCTCTACATGTTAAATGCATTTAAGACATGTTGAGTGTAATCAAACTTGTTGAATATAGTCTGTATGTGTTGAATACATTCAGAATTGAGTACAGTTCATATTGAGTACAATTTGAACATGCCAGCTTCATAGAAGTTCATATACATCAATACAATCGTTGACCAACACTTGATAATACAGATATGTCAACTTTCATTTCAGCCCCTGCTGTAAGCCAGGCGAATCCAATGAATGCCTTACAACAGGCTGGGTACCCAGTGAAGGCCTATGATGCCACACAGAAGGCTGGTGGGCCAGTGATGAAGCCCCCACCCCCAGATGCTAGGGTCCCACCTACAGGCAGCATACATGTCAACATACCAATGTCACCATTTGAGGTTGCACAGCGTGAGCTAAGCCCAAATGGACAAGTGAGTGTTAATACTGTATGTACTGCTTCTTTTTGTTTATTTATTTTGCACTGGCACATTTGTTATTTCTTTGCACGTTTTATTTTGTTTGCTGATGATATTACACGCACTTTTAGTATTGAAGTGTAGGGAGATCCATAAGCTTTTGTACAATGTGGTGGATTTAAAACTGTTCTCTGATTTTTCTCGGTGATGAGTGGCTATTAAGGACATAAAAGTTGATGATTTATGCGATGCTTTTCCTAAAAAAATATTGTTTTTAATACTTATATCCCCTTTATGGTTGTTCTGATATTAATAGACCTTTTTGCTGTAGATTAAATTATGAAACTGTCAACCTGTTATGATTCAAGAGTACAGTGTGTGAACATAATGCGATTCATTCATTGTTGTTTTTGTATGTTATCTTTTGTCTGTTCTGGTATTATACAAATCTGTTCAATAAATGTTTTTTCTTGTGTTAAGTATCCATTTTTTTCTATTTTTGAAACATGATTTTGTTTTTCATTTAGGTCATCGAGAGAATACCTAACCCCCATTTGCGTCCTGGAATGCACTCCCCTGGGGGTGCTAAGGTAGAGAATCAACAGATGCCCCCACCCAGAGACAACAACACACCTAAACATTTGCCTTCTAATGATGCATCCATTCATGCAGGTATGATCAATTAAAGTTGTATTTTGATAATGAAAATGTTGTTTAAATCAGTGTCAGAATTAAAACATTAGATTGTTAAGTCATAGCAGATGTTTTCTGATCAGTCTTGTTTCAGTTTTTATTGAATATTCAGTGAGTGGTTGAGTATATGCGAGTAGGGACATACATTCATATATATTATGTTTGCAGGGCTTAGCCAACTTAGTCCAAGTATCAGACAGCCAAGTCCACAACCTCCTTTGTCTCAGGCATATCAGCACTATCCACCTGCTCCGTCAGCATCTGCCACAGAGCTACGTGGAATCCTGAATCAGCCTTCGAAGCTTCAACAACAACAGCAGCGACTCCAGTTACAGCCAACCACCACCTCCCCTGGGGCTATGAATGAGAGGCACCAGCAGTTGTTGCGTGAAGAGAGGGATCGTGAGAGGGAGCGTCGTCAGTTGGCTTTGGAACGAGAACGTCAGGCACAGGCTCAGAAGGATGAGCAAGAGCGGGTTATGGTTCAGCGTATGGAAAATATGGTACGGGAACGAGAAGCCCAGGAACAGCTAGCTGCAGCTGAACGTGAGAGGATAGCTGCAGCGGCAGCAGCCAGTCACCAACCATTGTTGTCTCCACAGCAAAAGATCGCCCTTGAGCATCAACATCAGATGGCTGCTCAACAGTATAGGGAGGCCACACAAGGGGAGAGACAGTCCCCAGGGACATTTGCCCATCGTTTACCATACCCATACCCGGATGGCCACAGGATAGCATATAGGCCTGATGGCTCTCAGCCTAGCCCTCTGCCCACCAGTAGCTCTCAGGACCCTGCCAGGCATGATCAGAGACCTGATACATCTAACCCTGATACCCAACCTGGGGTACCTCAACCATTCTACCAGGGTGATCTCCGGATTAACCACCCTGGCATGCCCTACCCACAGGGTGGAATCACAATGGGATTGCCGCGTCTTCCTATAGACCCACGTATGACATATCCCATACAGCCCCATGACTATCTACAGGGCGGGGGTCATATGATCCCTGGTATGGTACCCCAGCACCCACAGCACTTTACACCGCAGCAGGGGGCCCAGATAGACCACCCCGATGCCAGGTCCCCAGGGTTGAGGCCACCTTCCCACCCAGGCTCACAGGCTGTGGCTCCAATCTCCCGCCCACCCTCTCAGCCACCCACCATGATGCCAGGTCTACACACCAGGATCCTGAATTGTGACGTACCACCCCAGACAGACCATCTTGTAGGCATGTTACATGTAAGTCTAGTTCATTTATTTCATATTTAGTTAACATTAAAGTATTAATTAACTCCATTAGTCAATGAACCTTACTTAAATCTAATCGCATTAGGAAAATCTTATAGTTATACCATGTAATGTGTAATTGTTTCAACGACACATCATAGGTTAAGAAAACATCATTTTTAATAAATCAATACACTTTAAAACATTTTATTGACTATAAGATTACACCATATAATTCTAAAATATATTTCTCATTTTCAAGGATTATCTATGGATTAACACCCAGGTATTGTTATCTTTAGAGGGCTGGGAATCATTATTACGAGCGCTTTTGAATAATATTTATGCTGTTTTAAATAGATTTCATGTATGCCAATAATTTCTCAAATTGCTTAAATGGTACCCCATCCTTAATCCCAAGAATTTTCTCTTGGAGTAATTTTCCATAGTAATCCAATGGTATAAGCAGATTTTGAGATATCAGGAAAGTAAATCATTAATACACACCTTATTAGTTTATATCACAAGCCAATGAGGAGTTGAAAAATAACAATAACTGGATGTTAATCCATAGATAATCCTTGAAAATGAGAAATGTTTTTTAGGATTATATGGTGCAATCTTATAGTCATTAAAATGTTTTAAAGTGTATTGATGTTTTTTAGATGAAAAACACAAGCTAAATGCATGAAAAAGCTCCTCAGATTCATTCTACAAACAACTCGCGGTCCTTTATATCTGGGGAATTTTTGTATACATTGACTAAACTAACTATATCATGAGCCATACCTTATTATGAAAATAACTTGAATATTGTAGAAGTATCCAGTTATGTGGCAGGGCATGTTGGGACTGAAGAATGAGAGTGCTGCAGTACAGATGCACTTTGTGTCAGGCACACGTCGTCTCGTGAATCTCTCCCTCCCCCAGCCCACCTTAGATATGGGGACTCCACCCTTGAGGATCAATCAAAGGATGCGGCTGGAGCCACAACAACTAGAGGGTGTCTCTAGGAGGATGCAGGTGTGTTACTGGAGATATTAATGTTGTTATGATTTCAAAGCAGATGTCACATTTTAGAATGTAATTAGATTGGAAAGGAGTTGAATTAACGAAGTTATACAGACATAGAAAACTTAAAATATCAAGGAGGTAATTCAGAATATTTTTTTATTACAATTGTTACAATTGCATTACTATTTAGTAATAACTATCATAGAAAGTATATCCACATTTATTGACTGAGATACATAGTTTAAGCATTTCATGCTTTTTATTGCTGTTTTAGATGGAAGAGGACTACTGCATGCTGCTGGCCCTACCATGTGGCAGAGACCACATGGATGTATTACAACAGACAAAGGCACTCAGCTCTGGATTTATACAATATCTTCAACAGAAGCAGGCAGCAGGCATAGTGAATGTATCGAATCCTCAGACTCAACAGGTACAAAAAGTACTACTGTATTTAGAATAGACCCGTAAAAATAGTCTGATATGTCTCGCATAAAGTGTGATTCCTTCCAATTTGTATAGTCCCTTGCCCAGAATATATACTAGTATATAGAGAAGGTTTGTATCTTGTTAGTGGGGTTGAGTGGGGGTTGCACAAGTGCCTGAAGCAAGCCACAAGTTTTAAATAATTCGCCTAAATTATGTTCAACATGGGAGACAGTCAGTCTAAACAAAGGGAAGATTTTGATGAATGCCACTTCGAGCAAAGCTATTAAAAATGTCAAGAGAACTAATTTTAAAGATGAAATGTATATCAAGTTCTTCATTGTTTTGCTTCTGTCATTCATTGTATTATTACCTGTGTTTCAGCCAGCTTATGTGGTCCATGTGTTCCCACCATGCGAGTTCACCCAAGCTAACCTGGCCCAAATAGCCCCTGAGTGGATACACAATGTTGCTGATGTGGCACATCTTCTCATTGTTGTGGCTACAGTCTAAACAGTTGTGGCGATAAACTAAAATTAAGATTGTGTCATAGCAACAAGCTGGATTATTGTGATGGATATTTTCCTGGTAGCTATCTTAACAACTGACAACTGGATTGTTATGGTGGCAACGTTGGCATGGCAGTCATTGTGGTGGCTACCATGTAAACATTGGATATTGTGGTTTCGTATTATCTAAGTGCATACCAGAGGAATATATCTGAGAATATCTAGATTGTTTTAGTATAGAAGGCAGCCAATGCCAGAAACGACAGTAAGCATCAATGTGGCATTTGCCTACAATGCCATAATGAAGATGTCATTAGAGAATGTGGAAATGTCATGATTTCATTAGGGCTAAATGTTAATCATGAGATATTAACTAGTATTACATTTAAAATGGACATAAATAAATCACTGGATATAATAAACGCATGAAATGTGTGCAGAATATTTCACATTTCCGGAGTATATGATGGAGATCTGACACACTGATACCATAAAAGGGCAGAATAATGGAAGATCTACGTCATTGGGGTACTGGCAAAAGAAGAGTAAGAGTTAAATTAACTTCAGTTAAACTAAAGGTTTTAATGATTTAATTTAACTCATCAAACCCTTGACTCACTTGATTAACCTTTGACTTACCTGATCAACCCTTGACTTACTTGGTCAACCTTGACTCACCTGATCAACCCTTGATATACTTGATCAACCCTTGACTCACTTGATCAACCCTTGACCCACTTGATCAACCCTTGACTCACTTGATCAACACTTGACCCAATCGATCAACCCTTGACCCACTTGATCAACCCTTGACTCACTTGATCAACCCTTGACCCACTTGATCAACCCTTGACTCACTTGATCTCATTTAAACTACAACATTGTAGTTCTTGATATGAAGTTGACAAGCTGTGGAATGTGGATTAGACCTTGTTTCTTGGTTTAAATGGCTTTTTAACCTAATTGCATTTTTTGAACTCACGATCTCCCAAGATAGTGTAGGGAGTGAAAATGTATTAAAAAATCTATGTTCCTCATTGTTTCTATCACATTAAAGATATGTTGATTTCAACCTCATAATTGATTCTATTTCAATGTAATGAAATTAATCGAAAATGAAATATGGTTTTCTGAATGGTTATTAAATAAACGCAACACTTGCATACATTTGAAGCCTGTGATTGCAATATTCAAATCATGTTATAATAACATTCTATTTATGTACAATTAATGTCAACTGGTAACTGGTTGTTGTAAGCTATGATGATAAATGTTGTCATCTGACTTACAACTGACAGATCCCAACACATATGTACAATTAATTTGAATTTTCCGGGTAAATCTGGCTTCCTTGAACCTTATTCCTTTTACTCCTTTGGCATTATTTTGAAGAATTTATTATTTCACGTAAGCCAAAATTTTTCATTGGGTTACAGTATGCCAGATTAACCAGGGACAACTCTATGTAGTCTACTGCATAGGGCTGAGCTAACATGTCTAGTGGTAAATTAATGGAGGATTACCTCAAGAGCTGTTCAGTAGACTATGTTTAAATGTTATAACTGCTTAGGTGTGCAGTGTATGGTGCTACTTTGACTGTGTTATTTTTTGCATAGATTATGTCGAACTATTGATTCTAAAATTTAATCTTCGTAGAGAGTGTTGTGTCGGTCTTCAAAAATGCTGGAGACTTAGCTTGTTCTAGATTATCAGCTAGTTCTTGGTTTCATTAGATTTCTACAAAATGTGGCTTTTCTAATTTAAGATTGTAAGGATTATTACATGTGTGCTTTTAATAACACAAAGATTATCATATGTGAACTGGTAATGAAAGAATATAGAAATTCTGTATTATCATTCAAGATAACGGAAGTTAAAAAAATATGTGAACTATTTGTATAAATCATGAATTCTGAAATAACAATTGGCTTTAAAGTGAAGTTTTAAAGTCCCATTGATATTTCAGGATTTATTCTATGTATTGTTTTATCACCCTTGGTAAACGCAGCTACTGATAATGGAATGGTCTAGTACAAAAGCATCTCTGGTGTGGTATAAC